ATTGGATGCCCCTATACGTCCATTATTTGATAGCAGGGCTTAGGTTCCCCATTCCAGAATTACTGGTGGGGCTATTATTAGATTACAGTATAGGAATAACCCAATTAACCCCAAATGCCATAAGGGTAATAATAGGCTTTCTTGTATACTGCAGAGTTCGGGGGGTGGGAGTCCCTACAGTGAACATGTTCAAACATTTTTTTATAATAAAGGCTGGGGGTAGGGGGGAGAAGGGGTGGTACAACTTCGGCCCTCGGTCGTCCAGTAAAGGGAATAGGAGTTTATTCTCTGCTGGACCGTCATCCATCAAAGGGTGGAAAGAAAAATTATTCTTTGTGGATGACACCGAGTGGAGTAGGAGGGATGCCAAAGTGGAACAATTGTCTACTTGGAAAGCGAAGAAAACCAAGCAGAACAACTATAAGTTGAATGAGGATAAGGTGGAGGAGGTGAAGGAGGTGGAGAAGTTGGTGAAGGAAGATGGAGACGTAGTGGATATCTTGTACCTCACCAGTCCGAAGGCAATAGAGGCTGCTGAGCTCTATGGGCCAAGCTCATTGAGCGAAGGTTGGTGTATGTTTATAGTGTGCAATTTTGATGGGATTTTAACTGGTGTGTTCTAATATTGACGTTTGTTTTGTAGTTGAAATGGACGAGTTCGTTAATGCGGCTGGGGGCCTGCACATCCCAAAGAAGCCAAGGAAGAAGTCAAAGACTTCAACTGCGGCGGAGAAGGGGGTGGCAGAGAGGGGGCGACTGTCCAGCACTTCTGCCCGGGCTGTGGAGGTGCAGCCAAGGCCGGAGCCTGTGATGGGGGGTAGCGAGGATGTAAGTGAGGAGATGGCACCTCTCCAGAGGAAGAAGAGGAGGGTGGCAGAGCCAGAAGCCAGGGGGGACGAGGTGGTGGAGTTCATGCCTCGGCCTTCTCCTCCAGAAATCAACCTTGAAGACAGGGAGAGGGAAGAGGTCGAGGTGCGAAGCCTTGGTGGGGGCAAGGAGCGCATCCCTCCTCATGCGTACCAGAAGAGTTTGTTTGAGGTGACAAACATGACTGGGGTGAAGCACTTCCTCAACTCTACTGTTCCTGAGGTGGATAGGATGCAGGCAAAGGACGAGGTGGTTAGCCATGTGGGGTATACCGTTTTGAGGCACGCCCTAGAGGTATGCGAAATAGTTGGAATTTACTCCGGTTGTATGTTTGAGTTTTTTTACCTCTGTATTTGATGTCTGACTTCTGATTGCATTGTAGAGTGCGAGCTGGACAAACGCTCTAGCGCAGGAGTATGCAGAGAGCGTGAGAGATCGAGCCAGCTTGCAGAGGCAGTGCGAGCAGCTGCAGAAGGAGAAGGATGAGCTGTAGAAGGAGAAGAGGGAGATGCAGAGGAGGCTGGATGAAGTTCTCCCTTTAGTGACCGAGCTCCAGAACGAGAATGATGTCCTGAGCACGAAGCTTGTCCTCGAAGAACGTAAGAGGAAGATCTATGAGGAGAAGCTCGAGGCTCAGGACAAATACATTGACAACATGAGGAAAGGAGCAGCGGAGCTGAAGAAGAACGTGAACCTGCTGGTTCACAACGGGATGGAGGAACACATTGGCAACTTCCTCAACTCCAGCACCTTTGAGAACATCCTCAAACTCTACCGGCTGCCAACCGCAATCGTGGCCTTCACCGACTGTAGAAAGAAGGTGAAAGCCCAGTACCCAGAGGTGGACGTGACAACAGTCACCTTTGGGGAACAAGAAGAAGGGGTGGAGGAAGATGGGGAGAGCCTCTGTGCTAACTTCCGACCTCAGATCACGCTGAGGTGGGAGCGTGATGCAGAGGGGCTCACTATTTTTCCTCCAGCCTTTGAGGCTGAGTTGGTGGCAGTGGGGGAGGAAGAAGAAGAAGAAGAAGCAC